TTTTTTTTTTAATAAACAGTTTTATTCTGTTTTAAGAATCAAATCAAGTGCTTTGCTTGATAAAAAGAAAATTTCTGATGCACAATTTTCTAATTTTTAAAATCAACAAATTCAGAGAAAACTGGCATTATTTTATAAAACATAGAAAACAAATTGCTTTTTTTTTCTGGAAGTCAAAATTGTTTATTAAAACAGAAGTGTTTTCAATTTACTTTAGGTCATAATCAGCTTTATAAAAAAGGTTGAAAATGGATGTCAATTAGGACACTAACAGTATTGAATAAAATATTTAAAATTATAAATGTATAAGTTACAAAAATATAGAAAGCAAATAAAGTCAAACATCATATTTCAATTAGAAAACTATATAAATAAATTATAAAATTTATAAATATCTAAAAATATGTCAAAATAATTTAACCTAAACAAAATAGAAATACTTTTTAATATAACTATAATTTGTAATCAATGACAATTGTGGAAAGCTATTTATAGACAAGAAGGGCATGTTATGAAATTTTAAGTTAACTAAAAAGATTTATAAATAGCACAAGTTATTTGAATTTGGAAATGAAGCATTTCACTCTACACTAGAATATAAAGATTAACAGAGTTTAGAATTGTAGATCAAACTTTGTCTAATGTTTTAGAAAATTGGATGATGCTCAGTGATTAAAAAAAAAAAACTTCTATTATTTAATCTAACTTTTGTATTATTTTGTTAGACACAAGATATTTAGTAAGTAATATCAAAAAACCTTAAATCCAGTAAAACTAGAATATTTTTGATCATGTTATATGGCCATTTTCAGGTTCAATAATGGAAGAAGAGGATGTATTTTTGAAATTAGAAACATTTGAAAATTACAAATTTACAGTTAGTCACATGCATAGGAGCATAAAATATATTAAATAAAACATAGAAAATAGGAATAGATAATCAATAAGAAAAATATTAAATAAAAAATGAAATAATAAATAATTACACTGATATATATAAATATTGTGTGTAAAAACATAAATACAGCAAAATGGTAATAAAAAGAACTGTAAAACTTCTCCAGACATCTGACATGACTGCTGAATCTTTAAGGTTAATTGCAGTCCCTTATTAGCTTTATAAATTTTGAGTGTTTCAAAATATTTTTTGTGTTAAACAAAATACAATATAGTAGGCAATGTATTGAGTGAATGTATCTCTTCCAACCTTCTTGAATGACCCTTCTTGAATGTATTTCTTCCAACTGAATCTTACATTTCCTATTCCATCCTCTTACCCCTGGTCTCACATATGAGACCACATTATTGCCACTCCCAAAAACACTCAAAAACTTGAAGTAAGTGTCTTGAACTACTTAGTGTCAGAAATTTCCACTTACATTCAGCAATAAGAAAGCTTTAAAGGCCATAGAAACCTTACAACTGGTGTCAGTTAGGCCATTCTTTGCCACCACATTATTAACTGCACCATCAAGAAGACAATGAACTCAAATTATTCAGTATTTCAGGAGTGTTTTGCAACAAAACAACAGAGTTATTTATGTTTATTTGTTATGCACTGCATAGTCTGAATTTTATAGGAATGGAAATATAAATATCTTTGAAACACTTTGGCTTGACAAGTTCAAAATCATAGCATGTTTCATAATGGTTCTTTTTGGACTTTGGGCTGATTGCATTTAACATTTGAATGGTATTTTCCATTGTATTAACACACCTAGTTTCATCTGATGGTTTTGTGTCAACAACAGAACCTTCTCAAATTTTTGATAGTCATGTAAGATTAGTGTTGGAAGATAGTGCATAACATTGCATTGATTGAATTGCCTATGAAATTCTCAATTATTAAGCATGCCTTCACCCATTGCTTTCATATGTTGGACACTATACAAGAATTATAACATATTAAACATGTCTTGGTAACTCATGTATAACATTTCACTGATCACCAAGCTTGCCCACACCTTTGAAAGAAAAATAGCAATAGAGGTGTAATTAAACACACAAACAAGAAAATACATCATCCTTTATTACAAACCACAACTCCACTGATTATACACAAAATAGCTAGAGATTTAAATCTGGATCTTACTTATAATTGTAAGATAACTAATACCTATTCAGTGGATGTCACGCCAATACTTATACTGACTCAAAAGAAAAATTTACACAAAAAGTTGTTAAGGAACATTTTATTTTCCTGCAAGCACTTTCTATGCAGTAATGGTCATCGTCCTAAGGCAGAAACAGAATCAAACAGATTTTTAAATTGAAATAAGAACAGCATTAACAATTTAGAACATAACATTTAGAACAAGAAAACTTAAATTGAAATAGCGTAACGACACACATACGCCTTAATTCCCTCCACTTACTCTGCATGTTAAGGTGCATGTGCGTCATTACATGTATTTCAATTTAAGTTTTAAGTTTTCTTGTTCTAAATCTTGTTATGTTCCAAACGGTTAATGCCGTTCTTATTTCAATTTTAAAATCTGTTCGAAATCAGTTCGATTCCGTTTCTGCCTGAGGACGTTGCCCATTACTGCGTCAAAAGCACTTGCAGGAAAATAAAATGTTCCTTAACACCTTGTTGTGTAAATTTTTCTTATAACTGTAGCCTCAATGTAGTTAGGTTACTCATGACTGGAGATACTTTCAACAAATACATGTTCCAGGGATATACAGGATCTCCTTACACTGTTTAAAATTTAACAAATACCTTGCCTACACTATTGGTTTCTCATGGATTTGTAGATGCCATAGAACAAAAGACCATAAACAATATCTCCAAAGCAAACCACGTCACTGTGCTGGCTCAGTTTGCCTCCGAGCCCAGGGTGTCCCCATTGGGAGGAAGCTAGACTAATGCATAAAATTTTTGATTGAAATAAATTCAGTATCATTGAAGTTATGGAAATTTATAAGGCCACTCTCAAAGAACATTGTATTAATTAATAATGATAGAATTTCTCTACCACAAGTATGGCATTTTATATTATTCCTATCATTCTGGAGCCTTTGTATACATATAGTATCTATAAAATATTAGGTAAATGTTTACCTTAGTAGACCCGATGGAAGCTCTTCCAGAATCTCGACAACATGTGCCAGATGAATTACGATGTAGGTGGTGCTGATTAAAAGTTTTTATTATGCAAAATTTTGAGTTTGAGATTATTTGCTGCTAATGCATGTTGGTGAGAATTTATAACAGTCTTATGAATTTTGAAACTTTATTGTTTTTTATAGAATTTACAACTGTAATTAATATTAGTTGTATTAATAGTAATATAACCAAAATAATGTCGGAAATTGAGAAAATTTGAGAAGAATTTTGGAAAAGTGCACTTCAATGGATTTTTATCGCATGATGATATCTGTAAGTAACGAATCTAAATTTAAAGTTGGTGGTCCAGGAAAAATAGTTGAAATTTACTAAATACACTACTAAATTATTAAATTTTCTTTTACCAAATACATTTTCAACAGAAAATGTATTTGGTAAAAGAAATAATGAAAAAATAAGGATTTTTAAGGGAATTTGCTATGTTGCCTGAGGCATATGTTGGCAAGGTAATGCATGCTGTGTACACAAAGTGTGTGACAGACTGGATGGTCACACTTCAGTTAGGTTAGGCTGGTTAGGTTAGGTGTGTGTACTGCCCTTGAACCCAGCAAACAGAAGAAAGGAATACCTAAAAAGAAAAAAAGAAAATGTCTACTAAAAATGTAGTTAACTTAACCTAACCAAACCAACCTAATAATAAGGAAAAATACGAATTTTGAATCATCTAAAAGTGCAGTTAAATCATGTTTGAAGGGAAAAGGTGAATTTTCTACAACTTGTGAAGAAAGGGAAATGAAAATGTGTAAAAAGTGAGTTTAATATTATTGTTTTTAATACAGTTTATTGTAATAATTGCACTATAATGTATTTAGTTTTTGTATATTTTGCCATTAGCCATCTTGTTTGTGGACTTTGCATTCACAAACAAGATGACAACTGGAAATACGGCCATCGAGGGTACCATGGTAAAAATTTACCAAATATTAATAGAATAATTTTAAAATTTTATCTTGCATCAGAGCACATATTGAATGCTCCATTTTTGAAAGTTTTGTAACTTATTTGATAAATAGAATAATTGATGAAGTCCCATACAGCTGAAAATTTTTGTTTTTACATTAAAATTTGTGTACTGGAGTTGGTTTTTTTTTCTTCTTCTGAGCTTCTTTTAGCAAACCCATTATGGGTTTGGCCAGGCCCACAATGGGGCTACTGGATGGTGAGAGACAGGGCTTGACCTATCCAGGTAGACCACCTCCTGAAAAATTCCTGGGGAGTTTTTGATCTGTCCGGATTCTATCCCAGATCCCCCAAGCAGTAGGCTGCCACCTTGACTGCTATCTGTGTACTAGAGTATATACAATTAGTGTTTTTGCTTTTGAGTTCAAATGTCATTTCTCTATTGGTGAGAGCCAAAAAGTTCAGAAAGTGATAGGAGAGAATTCCATTTCAATAGCCCTATATGTAATTTTTTAAATGCATTTCACTGTATGCAATGTTCATATAATTACTGTATAACAAATTTTCTATCTAACAGATATTCTAGGACATTTTGAATTTTGTTTATAATTTAGAACCTGAAGATGGCTACATTTTTAAATACTTAGGGTACATAAAATATTTATTATCAGTTTAAATTATAAAATTGAACAAAATCTTTACAAAATAAATTTACTCTGGTATTTATATATAAATACCAGAGTAAAGGAAGCTAATTATGTATTTTATTAATAATAGTAAAAGTGCTAAATTTGTATTTTTGATATGTTAAAATATTTAATATAAACTTGAATTTAGGAAAAATGTTTCAACCAAACTTGTAATTATGAAATATTATATAATAATACATTTTTTATTTATACTTTTTCAGTTTATGTTTTAATTAATATTTCTTGAAAATATTTAATTTATTTTATTTTTTAATCTCTAGCACCTTCACCTTCTAATGCAGATATGGTTCTCAGTACAAAATGTGTTCTGGATAAACCTATTAATCCTGGAGAATATGATGATGTATGGCATATCCCTCGTGGTAAAAATGGAGTACCCATTAACTGTAACAAAATAGAAGAATTGGATGATCCAAAAATAATAAGAAACCATGTTTCTCCAAATCAGATAGTTTTTGCAGTTCAAGTTCCTTTAGCTAAAGAATCTGTTCAGTTAGATTATTCAAGATGGATGCAAAATCTGATAGCAGTTCTTCATCCGGATATAGTTCACAAAAAGTACAATCCACTTTGTAAGTAATTTTTATGAGAATTTATAGTTATATTTTCTTTCATATTAGTAAACTGTAGGAAAATTTATTTAATTCATTTATTGAAACACAATTTTTGTAGTGTAATTTAATTTTATAAAAAATAGCTCTATGAATTATTTATAAATTATTAGAAATTACATTGGATTATTATTCACTGAAATTTATGTAATAGTTTTTTTAAAGCCACATTCATTTACAGGTACTCTATCTCATAGGGACATACATTTTGAGCATTTTATGCCCTCTTCAGTTCAATTTCTTAATAAGTTCCTACTTAACATCATATTCAATATGGTATTTTGCATTGTATTATTTTCTCAAATAAAAAAGAGTATTCTAAATTATATATATATATTTCATTAAAATAGTAGACTTCTCAACAATTTAAATTAATATTATATGAATGGAAGATAATTTAATTAGAACTACAGTCAAAATTCCACATTATGAACTATATAGCAAATTTCTCTGTGTAATGAATTTTTACATTGTACATTGCTCTTTCAGCCAAAAATATATAATAACAAATTAATTTTAAAATTAGCCAATGATGAAAAACTTACAGTAAATTGTTCTAGAACCTGTGTTTATATCAATGTACAATTACATTCTTAACATAAGTGTGAAGCATATTATGAAGAGAGAACATTTTTTAATTGTTTTTAATAAATTTTTTAATGAAAATTTAGTTAAATTAACTTTGTAAGAATTTTAACACGTTAATGTAAATTTACTTAAAATTAAAATTGTTATTACTATATATTACATTTATATTAATTTAATTTACATAAAATAACAAAAACATTATGTTAAAATAATACTTCATTTACCAAAAAATTAATTTCCATATACAGTAGAGCATCATTTATCCAAATCAATTGGGGACTGGGGTTGTTCAGATAACCAATTATGTATGAAAAAATATATTAACCTATCCCATGTTGAAATTTTTCTCCGTTGCGTGTCGCTTCACGTTGAATTTTTGTCAATGTTAAGCCTAACGAAAATTTTTATAATAATAATTGTGGCTATTGTATCATTAAAAATTATTTTTTTATTTTGTACAAACAAAATAAATATATTGAAAAATATAAAAACAAACAAAATTATATTTTAGAAGTTAATCTAGTATCAAAAACGTTTGATTCAGTACAACATGTTTTAGTTAACATTTTATTCAATATACAGTGAAACTTCTATATAACAAGTCACTGAATCCTGAAAAAAATTCACTATAGGGAAATATCATTACAGTAAAGCATCATTTATCCGAAAGCGTTCCAGTTGGCAAATTTTAATTTCCGCTAGTGCTATGGCATTGCAAGACTTAAGTAACTCAAGACTTTGGCTGTCTTGAGTTACTCCAATATTTTTTCTGTTGGTGTGTGTGTTTTAGCTGGCAGCACTGACACTATTGTGTGGTGTTTTTCTGACACACAGTCCTCACACAGTCCTCAGAAAAACACCACACAATAGTGCCAGTGCTGCCAGCTAAAACACACACACCAACAGAAAAAATATTGGAGTAACTCAAGACAGCCAAAGGTTGCAGTGCCATAGCACTAGCAGAAATTAAAATTTGCCGACTGGAACGCTTTCGGATAAACTACGCTCTACTGTAATGATATTTCCCTATAGTGAATTTTTTTCAGGATTCAGTGACTTGTTATATAGAAGTTTCACTGTATATTGAATAAAATGTTAACTAAAACATGTGTATGGACTGAATGAAAAATTTGTATGACAAATAGAAACATTGCTANAATATTTAATTTATTTTATTTTTTAATCTCTAGCACCTTCACCTTCTAATGCAGATATGGTTCTCAGTACAAAATGTGTTCTGGATAAACCTATTAATCCTGGAGAATATGATGATGTATGGCATATCCCTCGTGGTAAAAATGGAGTACCCATTAACTGTAACAAAATAGAAGAATTGGATGATCCAAAAATAATAAGAAACCATGTTTCTCCAAATCAGATAGTTTTTGCAGTTCAAGTTCCTTTAGCTAAAGAATCTGTTCAGTTAGATTATTCAAGATGGATGCAAAATCTGATAGCAGTTCTTCATCCGGATATAGTTCACAAAAAGTACAATCCACTTTGTAAGTAATTTTTATGAGAATTTATAGTTATATTTTCTTTCATATTAGTAAACTGTAGGAAAATTTATTTAATTCATTTATTGAAACACAATTTTTGTAGTGTAATTTAATTTTATAAAAAATAGCTCTATGAATTATTTATAAATTATTAGAAATTACATTGGATTATTATTCACTGAAATTTATGTAATAGTTTTTTTAAAGCCACATTCATTTACAGGTACTCTATCTCATAGGGACATACATTTTGAGCATTTTATGCCCTCTTCAGTTCAATTTCTTAATAAGTTCCTACTTAACATCATATTCAATATGGTATTTTGCATTGTATTATTTTCTCAAATAAAAAAGAGTATTCTAAATTATATATATATATTTCATTAAAATAGTAGACTTCTCAACAATTTAAATTAATATTATATGAATGGAAGATAATTTAATTAGAACTACAGTCAAAATTCCACATTATGAACTATATAGCAAATTTCTCTGTGTAATGAATTTTTACATTGTACATTGCTCTTTCAGCCAAAAATATATAATAACAAATTAATTTTAAAATTAGCCAATGATGAAAAACTTACAGTAAATTGTTCTAGAACCTGTGTTTATATCAATGTACAATTACATTCTTAACATAAGTGTGAAGCATATTATGAAGAGAGAACATTTTTTAATTGTTTTTAATAAATTTTTTAATGAAAATTTAGTTAAATTAACTTTGTAAGAATTTTAACACGTTAATGTAAATTTACTTAAAATTAAAATTGTTATTACTATATATTACATTTATATTAATTTAATTTACATAAAATAACAAAAACATTATGTTAAAATAATACTTCATTTACCAAAAAATTAATTTCCATATACAGTAGAGCATCATTTATCCAAATCAATTGGGGACTGGGGTTGTTCAGATAACCAATTATGTATGAAAAAATATATTAACCTATCCCATGTTGAAATTTTTCTCCGTTGCGTGTCGCTTCACGTTGAATTTTTGTCAATGTTAAGCCTAACGAAAATTTTTATAATAATAATTGTGGCTATTGTATCATTAAAAATTATTTTTTTATTTTGTACAAACAAAATAAATATATTGAAAAATATAAAAACAAACAAAATTATATTTTAGAAGTTAATCTAGTATCAAAAACGTTTGATTCAGTACAACATGTTTTAGTTAACATTTTATTCAATATACAGTGAAACTTCTATATAACAAGTCACTGAATCCTGAAAAAAATTCACTATAGGGAAATATCATTACAGTAGAGCNCTTCCAGCATATATAAGCTAACTATATAACCATCGACGGTTATTACAATATATGTTATATATCGGGCTTAGCAATGTTTGTATATATTACGCATTGCTGGGGCTTGCGATGGCCACTTGAGTGCCGTGTGGGACGTGGGTACTGAATGTGTCCCCAGCCGGTGTTGTAATAACCGTCGATGGTTATATAGTTAGCTTATATACACTGGAAGAGGAGATTGGACTGGAGGTCCAGATAGCATAACTGGCAATGCATCTGCACGGTAAGCAGGAGTTGTGGGTTCAAGTCCCGCTCCAGGCCGGCTTTTTCTCCCAGCGGTTCTAAATTATTTAAATTAATCAATTTATTTATAATTATTAATGTTAATAAGAGATGGCGCCTAGCTTACCTCTAGAGCCAAATTGGTTACGTAATTCATTTAGTAATTAGCCTTAAACTAGCCCGATAGATTTTCGGCATACAGTTGGTGTTTAGTTTTGTATGACAAATTTTAATAGTTGTGAAAGACAGGTAAAATAAGGTGCAGTTTATGAAATATATTTTTAAAAATAACATGGTGATGAGAGTCCAGTAAATAAGATTAAATAACTAGAAATATGCTGTTAGATTTTAAAATTTGTGGAGTGTTAATTAATGATCTAAATAAATAGGCATTACATAACAGTTTTAATTTATTGACATAAAACAAGACAAAAAGAATTAAAAATAATTAGTTTATAAGATAAGTTGCAAAATGATACAGTCACTCCCAGTTCATAAAAGTTTTCCATTTACATTGTACTGAGTTAATATGCAAATTAGGTAATGAGGTATTTTTATGAAATTTTCCAGAATAAAATTAGTTGAACAAGTTTTTGAGGTGTAAAAATAGCTTCATTAAGAGTCAGAAAGCAGAATTTTCTGAGTTTGAGACAAAATATTACAATTTTTAAACTCAAAGGATTATCATGTAGAGAAATAATAAGAAGGATTGGTCATACTCTGTGTGTGATAAATAGCTTTTTGAAATTTGAAAAGCTATATGGGATGAAGAAGATATCTAGTAGACTAAAAGCTTACACCTATGCAAGAGAGAAAAATAATTAAGAAACTCAATTCTGGTCATCTTGCATAACTGTTCCATGGTCCAGATATTAATATTCATAAATTGTCTTATCAAGAGTTTCAACTCATAGCAAAATCCTAAAGTACAAAAGGAAACAGCAACAGCCTTGACTTACAGAACAACACAAGAACAGAATGGCCTGAACAAACAAATATATATCTCGGAAGAAATGAATGGAGAAAAGTCATCTTTAGTAATGAGAAATTCAACCTAGATGCTCCCAATGGCTTGGCATTTTATTGGCATGAAATTTAAAAAGAGAAACAGATCTCTAAGCAATAGTAGAAAGGATGATCTGTGATGGTTTGGGGTGGCTTTGGTTATAGTGATAAAACAAATTTCTTATTTCTTACGGGTTGAATGAATGCTACTGAATACCAAAACCTCATGCAATAACTGAATAAAAACCTCGCTTTTGCCATTTATGGAGTTGACTGAGGGACAATTCTGGACATTTCAGCAGGACAATGAAACCATACATGTTTCATAGTCTACATAAAAGTTGTCCTTGGAGAATAGAATTTGTTATAGAATGGCCATTCAATTCATCAAACTTAAATCCTATGGAGAACTTCTGAAAACTTTGTGAAGGATTATCTATGCTAGTGTAAATAGTACAAAAACATTGAAGAACTGAAGATGGGAAGTATCATTATGCTATGAAATAGTTGTTTAGTATGAAATAGTCCAGAAAAAATAACTGTTACTTATTATATGTAGTTTATATACAAAAAATTTGTTAATTTTTCTAGAAAAATTACATTTGCAGTAATTTATGAGCCTAGTTTTATTAAAACATTAATAAAACTATGCTGAAAAAAATAGTTGTCATATCATTTTGCAACTGACTTTAATTATTATAAATAATGCAAAGTTAAATAAAATTTTTAATGAAAATTTGTACTTTATAAGAAAACATTGTTTCATAAAAACTTCAGTTGAAAGTTACCTTTATATTACTATAAATAAAAACAGATGATTTATAAAAATAGCTGATAAAAAAAATAATGATTTAAAAGATAAATAAAATAAAAAAAGATGATTTATACTGTATATCTTCTATTTGGCTCTTCGTTTGGATTTCTTCAGCTAGAGGTTAGTATTATATATGTATATTATTTTTATCCTGAATAAACTAATAGTACAATAAGTGATTGGTTAATGAACAGTTCAGACTGCAAACAAGTTGGACAATGAACACTTTCGTGAAAGATTTTTATGTTCGGACAACGAACACATCACAGAACTAATATAAGAAGAAGCAATGTAAAATAATGAATACCAATGGTCTTCCCTTGTCTCCAGGTGACAATTCAAAACCTTTGGGGTGTGGGAGATGTTGACATCAATGCTCAACCTGATACTGATCAGTTAGTATTCTTCTGAACTTTGAAACTCTCCCTTGTAATTCCAGCCTTTTGTTTACCTTTCTGACAGAAAGAATTTTTTATAGTCTTTATAAGATTGTCAGACACTTGTTAAGTTTTGCATCGGTTTTTATTTTCAAAAGATGAAAGTTTAACTGTCCCATCAGCTATTCGTTAATGTTTTAATGCCAAATTTTGAATTCTGTCTGGACCTCAGATTTAAATAATGTTTTTGTGCAATAGTTGATTTCTGTTCTCTGCATTTCTGTAAGTGCTTTTCTGAATTTTTTATTTGAAAAAGAAACTGATAATATTATGGAGCATAAAAAGAGTGGAGTGTCAAGAATTGTGCTTAACATAGAAACCAAATAGAGTGGGCAGAAGATGTTTGATGTTGCTAGACAGTATGGCTTGAACAGGTCTACAGTACAATCTTAGCTAAGAAAGATATCATCAAAAAGCTCAAGCAGTTAAAGGAGTAACGAAAATCACATCTGAGAAACAAAGATGTGTCATCCATGAAAAAATGGAGAAATTGTTTGTAATTTGGATAAAAGAAAGGAAAATGAAGAATTGTAACTAGTATGATTATCATTCAAGAGAAAGCTAAAGAAATTTTTGGAGAACCGAAGAAACACCAGGTTGCCTAAGGAGGAGCAAACTGGCCCAGGGCAGAAACAAACTCCAAATTCATCACATGAACTCATTCAAAAGGCATGGTCAGAAGTAATTCAATGACAATTGAATTCTGCTTGGCGAAAGCTGTGTTCCTCCTGCATTCTGGGAGATGGAGATGATGTCCCTGAAATTATGGATGAAATTGTGATAACTGCTAGAGATCTGGAATTGGAGGTGATTGAAGATGGCATTGAAGAGCTCATAATGGAACCTGAAACTGATCTGACGACCGAAGAACTCTTGAATCAAGAATCTCAGCGAGATGTGTTTTCTTCTGAAAAAGAGGAAGACAAAAGAGGACCAATGCTGACATCTGCTATTAAAGATCTTTTGAAATAGTAGGAGGATGTCAGAATAACGATCTTAGAATGGCATCCAAACCAGGTTTAGAATAATAGGCATGGGGATCTCTAAATGACAATATTATTAATTACTTCCAAACAATCCTGAAGAAGAGAGAAAAGCAATCAACATTGGACAGATTCTTTAACACCCCACAAACAGGAAAAAAAAACATGACTGATAAAAATGCAAGACTGTGTATGTATATATTATTATTACAAATAGATAAACATAGTAATAAAATATATAATTTTTTTATTTATTTTTTGGGGTCTCCAGAACAAATTAATCAAATTCCCATAAAAATCTATGGTAAATCTACAATCAGTTAATGAACAATCATAGTCTTGAAATGGACTATGTTCGTTAACCAATCATTCACTGTATATTACATTAGTTTTTATATATTTAATCAAATTTATTTATTGTTTCTACTATTTATATTATAAAGGATGCAATCTCAAAATCATACATAATAAGACTGCATAAGTCACAAATGTACCATATTCTTAAAATTAAAAGTTTACTTTTAAGATTTAATTTTATTAGTAGTACTGCTAAGAATTTTTATTATTACAGTAAGATTCCACTTAATACTGCCTCGATTAACGCTGATTCAAATTATGGCGGCATTTCATTGATTTATATTTAATATGATTATTCCCAAAACACAAACCAATCAGCAAAAGGTCACAATTCATTGTAGCACTGTACTTTCCTTAAATTATGTTTGTTTGGTGCAATTTTGGAAAAAAATATAACATCATGGATGCCATAGGCAATATTGACTTTGCGTGGCAAGAATTAACTGATAAATGCATGAACAAAGTGTGGAAGAAGTTATGGATAAAGGTATCCAAGAATTCTTAACGCAAAGAGCCTATTGCTGTATTGTTAGGTCGACCAAATTGTCAACCTAATAGGTGTAGTAGGTGACTAGGAGGTGTAGACTAGGTATTGTAAATTTACCAACTTCTTCATTTACCGGTAATTTGGTAAATGAAAATTAAAATACCGGTTTACTGGTAAATTACCGGTAAATTTTTTTCTTGTAAAATAAAATTAAGGTGATAAAAAAATATAAGTCATTTTGTAATATAGTGATGGACAGCACGCTAATCATTTATTACAAAAAACTTTTGCGATATAAGCGTTAAATTAACCACGTATGTCACTAAATTGACGAGCGCTTTCGACGATACACACTTTCGTCTTCTTCAGGTCATTAGAAGATACTGCATAAGAACCTTTTTTGAATTATTCAATAAATTATTCAAAAAAGGTTCTTATGCAGTATCTTCTAATGACCTGAAGAAGACGAAAGTGTGTATCGTCGAAAGCGCTCGTCAATTTAGTGACATACGTGGTTAATTTAACGCTTATATCGCAAAAGTTTTTTGTAAGTCATTTTGATTTCCATTTCACATTTTTCATTTCAAAGATATAGAATTTAAAAAATATAANTAATCCAGATCCCGAGAATACCCTTTCTGATTCAACACTTGTTGTACGAATGGTTATTAAATTAAAATTAAACAAAAACTATCTCACATAAAATTAATAATGAGATATATTGTTGCTTACACTTACCTGTTTTTTGTTTTTTTTTTTCAATGTCCCTTTAGCCCATTTAAATATCTATAAACACAATATTTTCTACATAGAAATTTCTAGTATGGAGTTTTCATTTACATAATTACCGGTAAATTAAAATTTACCGGTAAGTTTACAGAATGTTTTTTTGTCAATTTATCGGTTAACCGGTATACAATCCCTAGTGTAGACGAGCAAGATATTGAGGAGTCACTGCAGGTTTCTGGTGAGAGCCTTACCAATGAAAATCTTCAAGAACTGGCAGAACAAGGAATTAATGTAGAAATGGAAATTAGAGATTCTGAAAATGAAGAATCCAAAGAATTTTTCTACAGATTTCCTTAGTAAAAGTTTGGTAACAATAACCGAAACCATTGATCAAATTGTAGCGAATGATCTAGATTTTGAAAGGAGTGCAAAAGCAAGACAAGACGTTTTGGATGTGATCTGTTACCAACATTTGCTTAAAGAAAAAAGTGACAAATGAAACTACATCACTTTATCACAAAAACAAGAATTTCAGAAAAGCCAGGACCTTCTTCACAAAAAATGAACTTTATATTTCTGTGTGTGTGTGTATTATGTAACATATATTGTTATATGCAAATTATTATAAAAATAACTTAAAATTAAAGTAAAACCTGTTTATTTTTTTTGCTCATGTTCACCTTTTTCTATTTATTCTGTGTTAAAATGACCTCATTTAATGCTGTTTCGTTTAGTGCTTTGTCATCTAGGAATGTATCCCTCGCATTAAGCAGGGTCTTACTGTATATTGAAAACAAGTTTTTTCTCTCTAACAAATGTTCAATTTTTCCAGCTCATGAAAAATTTTTCCTGTAGAAATAAATAATATTGTTAGGATTTGTCATTTATATTAACAGAAATAAGTAAATGTAATGAAATTATTATATGATAGTCTTTTATAAACAGGGGTCTTCTGTTATATTTTATACATGTATTACTTTACACTATAATAATAATTTCAGCTAAACATGCTACAATGACCATGGTTGTGAAATTGGGTTATCGGAATAAATGGGATCCTGAGGATAAATGGACACTTATAGCAAACTCTACTGAACAAAGAAAACTGGATTGCAAATTAGACAAAGATAAGGTAAGAGTAAAATTAATACTTCAGAATAAATTCATGTGAACAATGTTAGGGAATTATAGATGTGTAAACAAGTGTATATATAGTCTTAGATTAGAATAAAGTTTAATTGTAAGTTAAAGGACTGCCTCATCATTGTTCTAATAAACAGAATGAAAATTAAATAATTTAATATATTGCATAAATAAATCATTTTTGAAAATTATTGGGTAAATCCAAAACTCTATTATATTCATTTTCTTAGAAACTAGCTTATTAGAGAAACTAACAAAAGAAACAAGCTTTTTTAAGCTAAATAAATAAGCTTTATTTTGCTTAAAATTTAGAAACTCTAAACCTCTGAAAAATAAAAATAATTTTGTTTTCCCAAAGATTCTAAATATACTATAATGGTGGATCAGTAAATGACCAACTAGGGCAACCAGCCATGCCATTACTTTTCCTGGTTATTGATCCAGCTTTATATATTTTAAAATTTTAATTTAGAATTTTTTTAAAATTTATTACTGATAAAATTTTAGGAGCAAGAAGATTATTTACATAACTGTGAAGTGCTACCTTTATTTGAACTTGGAAGTTTGCACCATGATTATTATCTTATTAATCTTCAGTTACCTGTGTCTGTTGATGATAGTGACATTTTGAATCATGGAATTGGTGTTTTAAAAGACATTTGGATTGTTGTATGTATAATTAAAAATGTTTTCTTTATAATAAGATTAAAATAAATTTTAACACAAATCATATTTATCCTTCAGCTGATCACACAAAATGGTGGCTTTACAAAGGTTTGGCTTTCATTAAAAACATTCTTCTTTCCAATTATTATTGCAACTATGATCTGGTATTGGCATCGTATTAATTTACTCACAAGACCTCCAGTTCTGCTAGAAAAGTAAGAATAATTTTATTATTATTAATTTTTAAATTATATGATCTTCAAATAAAAAGTTTTTACTTTATTTTAAACTAGCTGTACCAGGCCAAGCATTACTGTGGCTCAAAATGTATTTATTATAAATGTATAACACTCCCCGCAGGAGGAAATTTCAAAAAATCCCTTCTTAGTGTACATTCTCTTGATGTACCCTACTAAAACAATCAAAAATGCAAAAAAATCACATCTAAAATAGTATAATAGAAGCTGAGTTCTTCATGGTAAGCCTTAATTTTGTCCCTCGGCCCGCGGGGGCGAATTTTGACATCTATAAAATATACAAGTTCAGACACGTGCACTGTGTATCTTGCCGACCACTTGACTGCACCACATAGTTACCTATCTCATATACATACACGTCTTGCCCCTTGCCTGGGTAAATCCAAAACTCTATTATATTCATTTTGTTAGAAACTAGCTTATTAGAGAAACTAACAAAAGAAACAAGCTTTATTTTGCTTAAAATTTAGAAACTCTAAACCGCTGACACCAAAAATATAATGCTTACCTAGATGATATCTTTTAATTTATATGAATGTTTAACGGAATAATATACAGCATATGTTCACCCTGAAGGTCCATTCTAAATATTGGTGAAAGAATTTTTGAAATCAGATGAGTAGTTTCGGAGATTACCTCCTACATCCAAACTTACAAATTTATAATATCAGTTTTAAATTTACAAAAACCTTTAGTGGTGAACATTGTAGGAGTTTTTCATACTTTTTTTCTTTTTTTTACTTCTGAGAAATTGAGATAACTCAACTTTGCAATCTTTTACTTTGGGCAATGGGTGCAATTGTCTCCAACTCAAAAGTTCACATTAATATATGTTCTTCTCCTATGATTAAAACAAAAATGGATTATTGATAAGAATGTTAAAACCAGTTAACTTTTATAATATACTAGAAATTCTCCCAACAAACATGATGGAATACTTTTTATGAAAAAATAGAAAGAGATTGAAGAATTGAGAAGAGTAGAGATTTCAAGAAATTCGAGAAGAGTTGTTAATATTTCTACAAATTTTATACTATCTATTGTAACAAAGAGTAACAAAACAAAAGTTTACCTGGAATGGATGGTGGATGAAAATAGTAGGAGTTACGGTCTATTTTGCAGATAAAATGAGTATTCTCCACATAGTAAATTACAATGTATGCATGTATTTTGAGTCTTGCAATCTTTATTTCCAATCAGTTTACAGGCGTGTAAATGGCCGAAAACATTTATTGTGATTAAAGTTATTCCAAGCTGATCTCGTTCTCTACACCAAACGAGACTCTGGCAGCAATAGCACCATCATGAAGCAATCACCCTCTCGTATAGGAGATCATTGTTGACTATTGTAAATTGGTGCTTCAATAAACTGTCATAAATTAATTAATTCAACTGCGTGATTAAGTTATTCCCTTTTCTTTCCTAAGCAAAGCAGATTTATTCTTATCTCTATTTATCAACCCCTAACATTGAACGTAAGACTGTATAAAAAATGTTCGAGTTATATGGCGCATTTGAACGTGGTGTATGAGATGGACGAGTTTTAATCGGCTATCAGACTTCACAATCCTGTGTAAAAATCCTGTCTGTCAAAAAATTGGCGCATGGTATGCAAAAGGTTGGCCACCCCTGATCTAGACAGACAGTGTGAACAACAAATGAACACAATGACAAACTAGAGAGACAAACCGCCCGACAGAGACAAATGAGCAAGATCACAAAAATATTTTTATTTTTTTTATTTTAAACATTAACTTACTCACTAACTAAACTAACCTACTCTAAACTAACTCTAATCTAATTTAACCTAACAAAAAACTAAGCTAAGAGTCCCTAATCTAACTTATAACTAGTAGGACTAACTGAATTTAGACTGAAAAAGAAGACAGAAAATAAGAATTAAAATACAAAGTTGAAAGGCAACTATATACTGATAGTTGAAACAAAGCAAGGGAAAGCTAATTACCATCCGTGCCCCCAGAGTGAGTGCTCTCAAGAGCCCCACTAAGGGATATGAATGTGAGTAGATGATGGAACGTTGTACACATGTGAATGAGTTGGTGCGGATTGAAAGGTCATAGTACCCTTCAAGAATAGCAGCACTCATTAAACTATCCCTAATGTGATTGTACCTATTGCAGCGAAAAACTAAGTGAAGTGGTGTTTGGTCCTCCTAAATACTACAATTGCATTGTGGATTGTCTCCAAGATTAAATCTATATAAGTATTGCTTAAAGTTGCCGTGTCCTGTAAGAAGCTGAGTGAGGGTGTAACTTGGGTAAAAGTGGCAAATAGTCACAGTAGTATCAATCTTGGGGATGAAAGTGTAGGTGAGCCTACCAGTGGTGTCATGGTCCCAGTTGTCTTGCCAGAGAATGAAGATTTGCTTCTTTGTGTGATTGTTGATGTATGAGGTAGGAATGTAACTGAAAGTACTAGTGACTGAAGACTTTGCAGTTTGTTTGGCAAGACGGTCAGCAGTCTCATTGATTGCCAAGAACCCCGCATGACCCTGTACCCATTGGAACTCTATTCTAATGTTGTTGTCTAAGTGTCTAAGAACATGGTGTATGAGATGGACGAGTTTTAATCGGCTATCAGACTTCACAATCCTGTGTAAAGCTCCCCTACTGTCAATAAATGCGATAGTGTAAGTAGTGTCTTTTGTCCTTCCTATGCCTAATGTGAATTAAGCTCATATAAATAGCTAAAATTTCTGCCTGTGCTATTGAGCAGTGTGTACCTAGATGGAAGCAAGCATTGTGAAGCTTGCAGCCTAAGTCAGAATAAACTACAAAAGCGACACTCACATTGCCACCCATCTTGGAACTGTCAGTGTAAATCCTAAACATGGGATGATCACCTGAATCTTCAAAGTAAACATCAGGGACATTNCTTACCTGGCCTTCCCACTTGCAGCAAGTGCCGGCAAAGACACCTGTCGGCATGGGCACTTGGGATGGTGTGGGGGAGGCTGGTCTGCTATTTAGCGGGTCTCCCCAAAAAACCCAAAAGCAGATGATGGTGTCTTCCACGTACTGTAAACACTGGACAGGTAAACACAACACTTGAAGCACAACGATAAAACATCAGGGACAAGCTGATGGGAGAGGTAGTAATTGTAAGTCGGGGTATTTTTTATCAATGCTGAAATTTTTGATATCATCGATCAAGATCAAACTGGGGGGGGAATCTTACCTACTCTAATCATTTTATTGACATCTAAGTTGCTATAATTTTGCCAGGGTAAGGTGACAAGATTTTCCTGCCAAATAATGTGTTTAATTTCTAAGTCGATAGATGTCAATCCTGACTTTACCAAAAAGGCACTAGTGGATGCGGTCCTATAAACCTTACAAATGCGGAGAGCTTGAATCTTTGAACAGATAACAGTTTTTTACGGTTATGGACTTTGGTGGCCATGTGGCCCCAGGCCTGTATGGCATAGAGGAGTGCTGGCTGATTGCACCCTGTAAATAAGCTTAGTAGCAGTAGGGCAAGGCCCCCTGTGTTCCTAGCAACACTAATGAGGGCATTGGCTGTATTTTTTAGCTTTGTCTGTGATGTATTTGATGTGGGGTGTGAAGTTAAGTCTCTCATCAAGAATAACACCTAAATATTTAATTTCCATTTTTTGCTTTATTCTTTGAGCACCTATTTGAAGGGTAAGCTTCCTGAAGAGTGGCATGTTCGTATCAACTATCATGCTTTCACATTTGTCTGTATTAATGGGTTGCCTATGCTTAATATTTTTTTAGAAAGTGATTTAGAAAAATAGATAATATATAATTTTAATAAGATGTAATGGAGATGATTAATCATTTTAAATATTTTTTAAGTTCATTTAAATATGTTTTATTATTAAAAATTTAATTTGTTAATTTTAAATTTTTTAGGATGCTTTTGGGTTTGGGAATTGCACTCAGCTTTTTAAACTGTAAGTGAAAATATTTTTTTAATTATAGAACATCATCTAATTTATGAATATTTAGTTATCTGGATATGTAATTGGAGTCTTTGATAGATGAAAATAGTGATTTTTTAAGTTAATTATATAAGAAATTTTACTAATAATGTTGAATATGAAGGCATATTTTTGTAATAAAAGATTTATTCTGAACAAGAAAACATTGTTCTTCAACTCCTAAATTAACAATAATAAACATAATTTACTTATAGAAGTTCCTTGTAAAAGGTTTGATTAATGGTTTTGAGAATAAAATACATCATAAAATCCAAACATTGACTAAACTGCTTTCAATTGGAAGCACACTAATATAACTAGTATTATATAATTTAGAACATTTTAATGTTTTTAGCTTTGTCAAAAATAACTTCCCAATGTTTCTAAAATCTTTAGTAAAAAATATATCTTAATAATGAACATAATAAGATGTAATCGTAAATGTTTAAATGAATGTTGATATCCACAGATCAACACGACTCCCTCTAATCTCAGCTGAATACATGTATCCCTTGATTAACGTGGTTAATTAATCCCTCGATGCTACCGTGTACATTGTGTTAATCAAATACAGTGATACTTTGATACGTGACCAAACAATCACGACCTGCTAGAACAAATTTTGGTTAATAACAAATATTTTAATTTTAATTTTGTCACTTGTAAAAAGTTTTTAGGATAAAAATGAATAAATAATTTAAAAATGAAATGATAGAGCTGTCTACCTTCTTCAGACAAAATTATACTCAATCCAGTTTGTTTTTCTCACTTAATGCATGTGGAACACAATCATCGTGTCAGTGATATTCTAAGATATTTTTCATGTTCATGAGTTTTTATCAGGGCTGTGGAATCGGAGTCAGAGTTGTCAAAAAATCCACCGACTCCGACTCCTTTTTACTTCCTTTTTACTTCTTACGTACATAAAACAGAAAAGTATTAGAATCGTGTCAAATTTGACCCTTCAGGTTTCTTATGCAAAGCTGCACATTTGGAGACCTCTCAAACCCCTCAAAAAGACAATAAAAATTCGAGGAAAAATTTGCTTGCTTGTATGTGTTGGTGTCTAATTTGTTTAACTTCTTTATTTTCTGTTCTGAGATATTAAACAATATCTCAGAATGGGTAAAGTTTAAGAAACGAAATGTGGCACTGTGGCTTGCATATAAAGGGGCATTAATACTATTAAATTTTGGTTCTTAATTAAAGGTCGACAGAGTAAAGACATAAAAGTGGTCATGTGTCATATCTCTTAATGAATATTTTACTCGTTATTAGCGTACAAAATTTCAAAAAAAAAATAAAATTTGTCTTTACCCTCAAAGTAAACTTTTTTGTCATTTTATAATAGTACAGTAAAACCCGTTAAGATGTTCTCGTCTAAGATGTTAGAACGTATATGGGGGAAACGATTTAGTTCAACCACTTTGACGCTTAATAATTAACTCCTGTGTTAAACCATCTGACTCCGATTCCAATCACTCTGACTACAGAAATTATTAGGCTTCAAACAGAGTCAACGAAATCATGCCCCACACACACATATAGAAAAAACCTTGAATCTTTTGCATATCTCGAAATTTCAAGGTGTCCTGAGTCCAAAAATGTAAAAATTTGGGAAGGATCATTTTTTGATAGATTGCTACACCTTCCCTCTGTTATATATAACAGCCGGAAAAGTAAAAGTTATTGAATACATATTTGTATATTACTTAGAGGAGTCTTTTAGCTTCAGAATAAAAAGTTTCTATGTTCTATCTTTATTAGAACTCTATTTATTGGATCTTTTATTCTGAGGTCACGTGATGACATCAGAATTTCCTTGTCTCTTTCGGTAACAAGTCCACCCCTGGTTGGAGTCGGATGGTAAGGAAGAGTCAGAGTCGGAGTTGGTAGATTTTTATGCGACTCCACAGCCCTGGTTTTTATTCATCAATTTTTAACAATTACTTCCCAAAATTTTTCTTTACAGCTTTTGGGTGTCCCATATATTTTGTATTCTTTGGTTTAAAATTTTATGAATGAAACTTTCAAAACCACATTTTGTAGCATCTTTCCCATACACACTAAGAGTATATTTTACTGTTTTTATAGCATTATATCCTTTATGAAACTTAAAAAGTATAAATAAATAATATGTCTGATATGCATTTCATCTGCACTCATTTCAATTTGATTTATGCAAACAAAATGTGAAGTTTTAAAATAAGCTTCTGAACAAAGAATACAATATCACATTAGCAGTAATGTGTTAAATTTCATAATTATTGTAATTATACTACATATTTTTATTGGAAATCACCATCGGAATGAAAATAGCAAATTCGCCAGCACCTTATTTGCCAAGAAAAACATAATCTATGTTAAGTAAAGGTGGCTGTTAAAGCTGCATTAATTAAAATTTCTGCTGCATAAATAAAGAGATTGCTTCATTTAATTTCATGCATTAATCAAATTGCACGTTACACAAACGTTACCTGTATTAAATGTCATTGTAAAAAGATATGCTGTTCAAAGAGAAAGAGCCCATAAATTTTACACTACTTTAGAATGTTTTTATTAAGAATAAATAATAGTAATTCTAAAAGGTAATGTAAATTGTTTGGGTCATTGCAGAATCCTATCATCTTAGTTTCCTACCAAAGGAAAAAATATACAGGGTTTACTGATGTTTATAATAAAATAAATGAATTAATTCAAAAATAAACATGTATAAATCATGTAGAAGTTCTACAGTAATATGTAAATTTTTCAAATATAAAAAAATGAAAATTAAAAAGTGATCTTCACAGATTGAGATGACACACAATACTTATGTTCTTATAAAAGATTCAACATTAAGCAGTTTGCTAATTGTTAGAGTACTGTGACAAAGCCTTATGTGCACAAATACTACTGTGAAATGATTATAGTTTATTGGGAAAACTAGACAAAATGCACAAAAAAAAGCATGTAGATTCTATAGGCACTATTCAGTTGCATGCTCCTCAAACATTAAAATGCATTGATATTTATTTTGTAACTTGTTTCATATATTCAAGTTTTGATTGTGGAATAAACTTGTCCTTTTTTATTCAACAATGCTTTCTGCATTTTTGTGAGAATTTGTTAATTAATTAATATGTTATGTTTTCAGGTCTATTCAAATTTTGTGATTGTATAGCAAGTACATATAATGAATTTGTTCATGCCATATATTCATTTCACCTGTTTTAGTTTTCCAGCTTTGTAGTCCTATCCAATATGTTTCAGTGACGACAAACCTTTGTTTTCACTGAAACATTGGATGGGACAGTTTCTCACAATATTGTGATAGATTTATTTGAATTAGAACTGCTCATGCCATCAAAGGCTAGGGAAGTTTTTTAGTTGTGTTGTTTATTCATATAACTTAAGTATTGTCAGTTTTATTAAACTGAAAATGATTGTATAATTTTTTGTTTATCCACATAAATGAATGTTCTTTTATAATTCACCTGCTCTTTTCATGAAAATCAAATTCTGTTTAACAATTGTTCATTATAGATTAATTCTGAGTCATGATACACTAGCTTATTTTGATTTAATTTCTCTCTATAGATCCTATTACAGGTAGCATTAGTAGTCTTACCAGAACTTTATACTCCTACTAGCCATTTTCCAAGATTCATTGAAGTTAGAGCTCTTTTCTTGATTAAATAGCATCCAGTGAGAGCTCATTTGTGAGCTTAACATGTTGATTGCCACAACCATTTTGCTCCTACACAGTATGGGTGCCATTTTTATTATTCAATGTTTATTGGTCTTTTAAAATATTTATATTCATTTTCATTTATAATTGGTAATAATATTTTAATATATAGCAAAAAAAATATTAATTGAGTTATGCAAAATAACTATAAATTATAATAATCTAAGTTATTTAAATTATTGAAATTTAATCTTGATTCTTTACAGATGTATAAAAATATGATGATAGTTCATAATGTATTTTTTACTTAAATATTTATAAATAGTAATTAAAAAGTATTTAAATTATTTGTCTGTTTATTAAAAAAGAAAAGCTTTAAGTTAATTTTTAATGGTTTTCTGATATTATATTAACAATATAAATTAATTTTTTTTCTTTCTATTCCAATTTGTTTAGTGCCTCTTGAATTTTTAACATTGTTTATTGAAATGCCATTTATGCTTCTTCTGGCTGATATAAGACAAGGAATATTCTATGCTGCTCTCTTAAGTTTTTGGCTTGTGTTCTGTGGAGAACATCAAATGGTAATATATAATTTTATTCTAAAATTTCAGTATTAAATTAATTAAAATTTAACTAGCTTAAATCTGAATTATCCAAACATGGATGGATTTCTATTTTGATTATATTTATAAGAAACATTGTTACATCTTATTTTACATGCATATACGGATGAAAAATTAACAGGAAGGAAGGAAGGTCAGTAAACTTAGTGAAGAAAAACATTACAAGTATTGAAAAAATGTGCATGTGTTATGTTTAATAAATTGCATGAATATAAATTATGATTTTGATATATAATTACTTCATATGGTTTAAATAATCTTATAGGATGATGTAGAAAGAAATAGATTAAGAAGTTATTGGAGACATTTAAGTGCTGTTGCCTTTGGTTGTTTATGTCTCTTCTTATTTGATATGTGTGAAAGGTAATGTACAATATTTATAATTTTCAGTTGATTAAAAATATATTATATGTACTTTAATTATAATATTCACCCAAAATATATACTTAATTGTATAATTTTAAGTGTATTACATTAATTTAATATAATACCTAATGTGTAACTAATATAATACAAATTATAACAATTATATCAGTTGTGCTAAATTGGTATCTTATAAAATTATGAAATAATTATCTTTAGTTATAAATATTTTTATTAAGTTGATAGATTTGGTAAATTATATGTAAAGATATTTTTTGTATTTGCTAGTTTAACAGATATTTTTTTAAAGTTAAATATTTAATTCCAAATTAATCAGAAATATAAAATACTTATAAAAAACTAATAACTTTTAAAAACCATTTATTTCATATTATAAATTAATATCTGTATTTATTACATTTAAAATAAAATATAGTTGACTTGCTTTATAGTGACTGGATCTGCCATATGGCATACAATGCAGTACCAGCCATAGAGAATCTTCCACAGAACTATAACTATTTTTAGAATCTTAGAATTACACTCGTAAACCTGTGTGCAACTTAGGCCGAGACTCCACTAGCATAAAAATGGGTGTAAAAACTTTTAATCACATGACCATGATATCTTATGCCTGAGCAGGTCGTAAAACCAGCGTAAAAGTGAGTTGAGCAGTGTTCAACTTTCAATGCAAATATGGCTGTAAAATGGTACCTTCAACCAATCAGAAGTGGAACTATGTCATCATGACATTGTGCGAAAATTGTGGGAAATGAGCTTTTGTGTATGGTCTATCATGGCTACTTCAAAAAGACCTCGAATAGATTTAGAAAAATTTATCGAAAATATTTGAAAATATCCATGTTTATATGACAAGAGACATCCTGACTATAAGAATGGATGCCTAAACATTTTATGAACTCTGACAATTATGAACAATCAAGCTACGATGCTTTCATTTCCACCAATTCACGTGTGAAGAAGTATTTACTTTCGACACTTGGGGCAGCACCATTGCCGTAAAAACTTCGCTAGCCAGATCTCCAGTGCAATCCAGACACAAACGCAAATAGGTGACATGATTAAAAGTTTTTACACTAATGGAGTCTCAGCCTTATATAGTCATCTCCTTACTGTACCTGCATGTGCCAGTGAATGAAAATTGGTTTTTGTCAGAGATTGGACAACACTACACAGTTCTTGCTTTGTGCACTGCTGCAGAGACCATTTTATCAATCTATTGTCTTATGTTCTTACACATCAACAGTGTTGCCACTCACAGTTACTGTTGCCTCTGAGTTGGAAGTGTTGTGTGTCAAAATTACTATGTTATTGCTCATCCTTCTAACTTTTAAATGACATTTTCCAGTTTTCTATTGAATGTGCCTTGTATTACTTAAAGTAATTTAAAAATGAAACAATAGAGAAAAATGCCTTTACTTAAATTGTTTTCAGTAATTCATTGACAACTAAATCAGCAAAATGGAAAATAAAAACAAACAATTAAGCAATATTTACTACAATCTATAAATGCACATGCTGTATTATTATTACAATTATCTTCCTGTCTTGGGGAAGAAACTTTAAATTTTTTTAATAATTTTTTATCAAAACTATATTTATTTAAACAGTATTTTTATTTTGTATGTATAATACATGTAATTTTGATCAAAGAAAATTTTTTAAAATTTTAAATCATTTTTCACTTAAGATATTGATTTGTTTCTATCTCCATGTTTGTTGATTCATTGCTTGTCACTTGATGAGATTGTAATCACTGACAGGGTTGTTATATTGAGAATAAAGTATCTATATCTGCACTACACACTGGGATGAATATAAAATTAGACTCACTTCAACCATTAACTGGTGTGAAATATGATTAACTCTTGAATATCAAACGTTTTCTTAAATAAGATTGAACATTAACCATCATTGTCAATAAATGACCAGAATATCAAATTCGAACTTAAAATGAAAGAGTATGAGGATGTGTTTGAATAATGAGAACTTATGCGCATGCATTCCCATGTCTTCCATAAATAAGATTGAACGTTAAATATCATTGTGAAGTAAAGTCTGCCATGCCATTGAAAGACACATCTCCTCTCTAAAATTAATGCATGTGGATCTGCAGCAAGCTTTAAAAATCTTGATCGCCTGCAACCATTTCAGGTGTTCCGGGTTTGGGGTGGTAAGGATGATATGGGCTCTGGTGAAGTCTGCTGCAATATCAGGGTCCACTCATTGCATATGTGGAGAGTGCAGTGGTGCTCTTATTATGTTGTACTGTATATCAGATATATGCTCTCATATCCTGATCCCCATTGAATGTTTAGTAAAGCCAATGTACACCATTTCCCTATCACATCTGTTGTCCTGATAGGAATGCTATAAATGTCTGGTAGTCTGTTGGGGTTTGATGGGTCTTTTCTGTTATGTAGTAGGTTGAAAATGGTGGGGCATCTCCTGTAAGTAATACTGACCTGGCATCTCTTGGCAATAATGGTGTACAATGATTTCAGATGGGGGTTAAATAAGCATAATATTTTCTCAAAAGCATAATAATAAAGTATCATTATGCTTTTGAGAGAATGACTGGGATCTTCTCTATTGGTCGTCATATTATGGTGAGCTGGTACATTGAGGGCCACTAAAAAGTAGGCCTACTATATTTAGTAGATCTAATATTGATGTCAAGCCATTTATTATACTAAAAACATACAATAAATAATACACTGTGAAAGATAAAATAGTCCTAAGATGAAAATTTGCAAAAGCCAGAAAATTGCACTTATTTCAATATTATCTCAAATTTTTCCCATAAAATAGCTTGTCTAAGACAGAACCTGTAGATATGAAGGCAAAGCTATATGTTATTTTGCTATTATTAACTTGCATTAGTTATAGCCTGTTAAAGGTGAAAACTTAAACAATGAATTAGACCTGACAAAAACATTAGAAATGAAATAAACTATCAATATTTTATCTATAAGATGATGCATTTTAGAAATTAATTTAGTTAAATATTATATATGTAATTAAGATTAATACATAATATAACAGAAGATCAAAAATATAATATATTCAATTAGCATTAATGACATGCAGATATATAAATTATAATTAATATGGAGACAAAATTCTAATATTGAACAATGAGATGAAATACATTAGAACTAGTAAACTTTGATAAATATTCTTGAATTCATATATTAAATCTTACATCAAATTTAGATTTTAATATCTTCCATTCTGTCCAGCAATAAGTATGTGTTCATTTTTCAAGTTGTGATAGAACCTGTAAGAAGAAAGTATGATCGGAATGAACCTTCAATTGACAGAGTCCATCCTTCAAACCGAAAGTTGGCTTGCAATCTGAAAGATGTGTTTGATGATGCAGGAAAGGTTCTCACCAGGAAACACCAAAATATTCATAGCAAAAGATGATGGGACACCAAAGAATTTGTAAATGCACTGGATCTAGAAAAGGAGGGAGATTGAGGAGAAGAAAAATTGGAAAAGACAAGAGAAGAGTTCAATTTATATTGAGGAAAAGCAGAAGTAGAAAGAGATGAACATCCAAACAGAGAAAGGAGTGAAGTGAGTTAAAAAGATCATGCAGTAAAAGCAGGAGGAGGGTTTAAGGAAGAAAATAAGCATCCATGAAATACAAACCTCTAACCAGTGTGATTCATTGTGAAAGACTTCTGTTGGCTATGCTTTGATAGAAAATTTTTCAATAAGCAAAAGAACTTACTCTACTCAAATTCTGTATCCATTTTCAGCCAAAACTTCTGAAAATATTTTTGTTTCCATTGCAATTTATGATGTTTTTATTAGCAGTAATCCAACAAGAAGATTGCTTTGCTTTAATGATGTATTGGCACATTTTAAAATACATTATTGAAAATGTTGACTATTTCACCATTAATTACAATTAAGACAAATTTGGAAAGAGTTGGATAGTGTCAAATTTAAGCAAGTAAACCACCCAAGATGGTATTTATAAGTATATACTTTTAATGAGACAACAGAGAAATTTTCGTTAAAACATACATACTTTTTTTGTTGTGAACATTTCAAATTTAAGTGAATATGGTAGAATATAGCAAATGCTATGTCTAGTTTGAAAATTGGTTAATATATATTTTACCAATATGTATGTATATAGTAGAACTATGTCAGAAAATACTTAGAAAAATTGTATCATTGTGTGCCATTGTGGTAGAGAAATAAAATTAACTGAAATATTTTATGATTGGATGTTGTACATTGATTTTTAAAAAATTTAATATAAATCTGAAATTTAAAAACTATTATCTTTTGTCATGAATTATTTTTTGTTTAATTCAAACTGACTCAATAAATGTTTATGAATTTTCTTGATTTTAATATGAAATTAATTGTTAATGATTTTACTTATGAAATTAATAAAATTTATCTATTTTAGAGGTGTTCAACTGAAAAATCCTTTTTACAGCATTTGGGTAACAGAATTGGGAACAAACTTAGCTGTATCCTTTGAATTTTTCTTTACAAAAATTTGAAGAATGGATTTCATAAAGAGAAATTTATCTATAAATGCAAATAAAATCATTTTTATTAAAAAGTAAAAACATAAAAATTAGAAATTTGTGTGTTTCAGTTATATTAATATGATGATAATTTTAATTTTTGAGTTAAAGTTACTTTAAAATGTACAAATTTATACCAGTAATACTAATAAAGATAAATTTAAAAAGAAAATTAGGTATTGAAATAAAAATGCAGACATTTAAAGGATCAGAAGAAAATTTTTTTTGACTGAATCTCACTTTTATTGTTTTGGATTCATCAATAATAGAAAAGTCTTTATAGTTTGTTTCAAATAAGTGGTAACTACCACTTATTTGAAACAAACTATAAAGACTTTTGTTGGTTCAAACAAACTAATTGTTGGTTCAAATAAGTGGTAACTACCACTTATTTGAACCAACAATTGAGCAATTTCAATATCACTCTTCTTAGATAATTTGATTGGTTCTCTTAAACCTACATTTATTATGCTAAACAAAATTATATTTGTAATTTTGATTAAAGATTTAAAATAATTTTTATATTTTTAGCAATTCTGATTTACAAAATATTGTAAATTGATACAATGAATAAGAGGTTTTATAAGTTTTCTTTAGTGCTCTGGGAACAAAACTCTTTATAAAATGTAATTCTATTGTTCTACTTTTTAGGAATGCATTATGCTCAAAAGTTGGAAAGTATTGATTAAATAAATTTAATGCAAATAAAAAGATCCAACAAGATTGCTTTACTTTACTGCATCACTAAAGCAAAGCAACTTGGAAATAAAACAGTCTTATGACAGAGTCAATCTTTTATTGTATTTGTCTGTTGAAGGAAAATTTATTTTATATATTGAAGCAGACAAGAGCCTACAATAAAAGTTCAATTTGGCTGTTTTTTTACCAAGATGTAACATGGACAAAACTGTAGACTTTTTGTTTCTTCAATTATTTTTGTGAATTTTAAAAAATAAAATAATTTTAATAATAGTTTAATATTAATAGATATTTCGTTTTACTTTGATAGGAAACTCATTTTCTAGTTATCGACTTAACTATTTGTAGCTTGGGTTTATTATTTTAGCTGGAATATCAGCTTGTCTGTATTTCGTATTTCTTTGTTATATGGTCTACAAAGTATTCCGTAATATTGGTTTTAAAAGAAGCACTTTGCCAAGTATGAGTAGCACCAGAAGAATGTATTATGAGGTTTATAAATTTATTTCTATTTTAATTTTAATATACAAAAATAATTTTGTATTTTTTCATTTAACAGATAAATTGTTTTACTTTATAGGGGATAATTTATCGGTTCAAATTTTTGATGATGTCTACATTATTGTGTGCTGCTTTAACTGTTATTTCTTACATTATTGGTCAGGTATGTATTAATTTATGCACATGAAATAAAATACTTTGATTATGTATTTTAAATAATACTGCTTTTGTTTACTTTTATTAAAAAAAATCATATCAATAAGTAAATTTGATCTTCAAAACTATGAGGGACGTTCAAATATAAACAGGAATTTATGAGCTACACTTTATTTATTGAATACAATGAAATGACTTACACATTATTTTTCTATATAGTCTCTTGCCAATGTTCAGCACTCAGAAAGCTTCTTAATCCCAGAAGAGTAGAAGTCTTTTGTCTGCTTGTTGATCCATTCTTGTAAGCTCCTCATTCAAATTGAATTGCATGCTTGCTCATCTTGATTCTGGAGTGAAGTAGTGCATCCATGTTTCATCACAGATTACTATAGAGTCTAAAGACATGTCTATTCTTTTTATATGCTTGCAGAAGTTGTGTGACTGCAATCAATATTCTTTCTTTGTGTTCAGGATTCAAAAGGCAGAAAACTCACCATTCACCAAGCATTCATTTTGCTAAATATAAGATGATCTGTAACTACTATTTGTACACTCTCAACACTTATTTTAAGTTTTTCAGCAATTTCTTTAACTGTAATTCTCCAATTTTCTTGAATAAGTGCTTCAACAAGAATCTGCTTGTCTTCATCGATTGAGGATCTTGGCTGGCAAATAGTTAGTTCATTTTCATTTCTTTCCTAACTCTTTTTCAATGACTTGCACCAATTATATACTCTAGACCAGCGTTTCTCAAAGTGGGCGATAATGCCCCCTTGTGGGCGCTGGAGGCTTTCAGGGGGGCAGTAGAAGGCTCAAAGAGAATTGGGGGGCGTTAAAGAAATATAGAGGGGCGACGGCAGACAAATTCTATATATATAAATTCGACGTAATATATATAAAATTTTGACATTTTATATATTTTTTATTTTTTATTGAAGGTCACAACTTGAATATTTCTAACACATTGACTTTTATTTTAGCTCAGCGTTTCTCAAAGTAAGCAATAACGCCCCCTTCTGGCGCGATGAATAGATCTATGATAGAGGCAGGATATTGAACAATGACCAAAGGCAAAATTGAAGCTGATAAGAGGAAACATTGCATTTAATGGTTTCCAGATGATGAGAACAATGTACGGTAAGGGCACAAAGTGTGAGATTCATAGAAAAGTTTTCCTAAGAATATTTCCAATCCTTTTCTCACACAAGAGAAAATGGGTTAGGGGGCGTTGGGTATAACTTTATGGAACAAAGGGGGCGGTGGATCGAAAAAGTTTGAGAATCACTGCTCTAGACCGAGAGAGACAGACACTCATCCCCAACCTAATTTTTATGTTAAAAAAAATCTGAGATGGAATGATGCCTTCATTTGTCAAAAAGTTAATAATTTGCAGTGCAACACTATTCTTCCTCCTGCAACAACAACAAGAAAGAATATTGATTGCACCCTCATAGAAAGAATATTGATTGCAGTCACACAACTTCTGCAAGCATATAAAAAGAATAGACAAGTTTTTAGACTCTATAGTAATCTGTGATGAAACATGGATGCACTACTTCATTCCAGAATCAAGATGAGTAAGCATGCAATTCAATTTGAATGAGGAGCTACAAGAATGATCAACATGCAAACAATACTCTGCATAATTTTACAGAGGTGCTGCATCTCTAAAATGAGAAGAATGAGGGAAAAGCACCTAGCACTAATAATGACAAGTTCAAAAATGCATGTGTTTGTCCATTGAGTCATCTCTATCTTGCACTGATTATAAGAACAGAGCATGAAAATTCATGTTTGTATTTGAACATCCCTTGTAATTAATAAATATAAGCTGATTTTTAAAAATATTTACCTAGAAGAAAACTGAAAGCATCTTCACATATATGTCTTGTCCAGTAACCAGGAACCAAAAAGTCTTGCTTCACAGAGACAACCTTTCATTAAAGGCTATGCTTCTGTAAAATTATGCAAATACAGTTAAAAACCTTAACTGGCAATAAGTTCAATAATTAATAATATATTAGGTTAAATAATAAAAACAATGGGATCGGTGTAGACAAATATTAAAATTAATAAATTCTAAAAATTTTTTCGTTTAAAAAAAAAAAAAAACCTTTAAGAACCACAAGTGACTTTCACTCTTTAATTCCGACTTCGATAGAGTTTTTAAAAAAACAGAGAAAACCAGAGAATTATTTTCACTATTTCTTACTTTATTATATTATCCATATATATTTCGCTATTTTAGCCTCTTCAGTGGATATTACACTGTTAAGTTGCCAGTACTATTATAGTTCATCAAGCTATCCCAGCATGCATCGACATATGCTCCTGTATTTAAATTTATGCAATTTGCATGTTCTTTAATACAGTAATGTTCTATGATGCGTCTTTTTACAAAATTTTTTTCTTTATACAAAATTTTAATATTACTACGATCAATAAGACAATTTTTAATACTGCAGTGTTGTTGCCACGGGGATTCAGTTCTGTTCAATCGAATTGCCGCCTCATGCTCCTTTAGCCTCACTTCCAGTTTTCTTCCTGTTTCTCCAACGTAGCTTTTCCGTTCTGTGCACGTACACATCAATTCATATACGACTTCTGCAACTTCTAAAGGATTCTTCGATTGTTTTTCATTTGCTTTATTAATCAGACAAATACTGTTATTTAATTTATTTTTTTGTTCACCTACTAAATTGACTGAGAACAATTCTTTAATATAAGTTTTATATTTTTCATAAAATTTGAAAATATATGGAATTTTAATATATAAGTTTTCTATTTTATTATTTTTAACATTATATCTATTATTTAAATACGAATTGTACCACTTACGTATAAGCTGTTGTGGATAGTCATTCAATAAATATTTTTTAAAAAGATTCTTA